TTATCCCGAGTTATTTATATTCTTAGGCCAAATTAGTCTTTTAGGAACAGCAGCAGCAGCATTGCTGAGGAAGCCCATTATTAATGAAATTGAATGTTGAAGTAACCAGCTGATACAGGGTGGAAAATTGGGATTTCTGTAGGTTGCAATTCCTGTGTTGCTCTTGGGCTGTATAAAACCATTGTTCAAAAAATTAAAACAAGATATAACTTGCCTACAAGAGACGCATATTTGAAAAAAGGACATAAATATTTCTTTTATAAAAAATTGGGAGAAGAATTCATTTCAGCAAAATGAAATGAAAACAAAGGAAAAGAAATGGAATTATTCTGCATTCAGTGGTGGGTTTCCTACCAGTTCGGCCCTCGGTTTGACAGCCTGGGTCGCTGAAACTGGCAGTGACCCAGGACTGCTAAGCCCCTGAACCGGCCATCTTGTTTTTCAGTCCTGAGCATGCGCAGAACAATTTAGATAGCACTGTTCTGGCAGGCAGTAGTGCCTGCCAGAACCCACCTCTGTCTGCATTGTATATAAATCCACAACTAAAATCAGAGCTTGTATTAAGTGATGAGCTTAGTAGATTTGTTGAGGGTGGGACTAAGACTTTGATACTGGGAATCTAGCTATGCCCCAAATAAAGAGAAAATGTTTTATAAATGATTAATGCAGAGAATTAATAGATTTATCTTAAGAAAATTGATGCTTGATGGGGATTGGAATGATCCTCCCACAACTAGACATAACTTCTGAGAAAAATATTAAAATCACTCTAGACAAATTACTAACAGTTTCCCTTGATTTGATGGACAATTTAGGGCTGGTTGATATATGAAGGCAGAAAATGGCATTTCAAGAAAGTATACTTACTTTTCTGAAAGACATAAGATATTTTTCAAGGATAGATATGATTTTGCCTACAAAGAATTTGGCTACAAGGTTTCTAAGGTAGATATATTATCAAAGACTGTTTCAGATATGGATTTTTAGATTATTCTAATTTTTATGAAGAAAATGACATTACTTTAGAGAAAACAAGAATAGCTAAAGAAACAAAAACAATAAGGGAAGTATCTGAAGCTATAAAAAAGATTAAACTAGGAAAGGTGCCTAGACCAGATGGATTATCAGTTTTTTTTCTTATAAATGTTTTGAGCATGAACTTTTATAAACTTACCGCTATTCCTACAGGGAGGAGATGCCAGAGAGTTGGAGAGCCAAAATATTATTAATGCCTGAAGAAGGATAAGATTTGACTTTAATAAGCAACTATTCTGCCAACGTCTAGCAGTCCGAAAGCAGGTAAAAATGCAAGAAGAAAAAATAAGAGCCACCTTTGGTGGGAAGGTAACAGTGTTCTGTGTACCTTCAGCATTTAGTCATGCCGGCCACATGACTACGGAGACATCTTCAGACAGCGCTGGCTCTTCAGTTTTGAAATGGAGATGAGCACCACCCCCTAGAGTCAGGAACAACTATCACATACATGCGAGGGGAACCTTTATCTTTACCTTAAGCAACTGTAGGCCAGTATCATTATTGAATAATGACAAGTTGTTTATAACATTTGTTTATAAAATTTGCCCATCTCACTAAAAGTGAACTCTGGGTAGAACACAAAATTTGTTAACAATTCTACTAGGTAGACTGAACATAATTTTACAAGAAATTATTCTTGTGGTTTTTATCTAAAAGACAGTTAAAAGACAATGTTAGAAATATGTTGGAGATTTTGGAAAATTTGGAGCAACATAATGAAAAATACTGATTTTCTTAGATGCAGAGACGGCCTTTAACCTGGAGTTTCCTAAGATACATTGATAAAATCATCTCCACTTCAGTTTTCTAATTTATAATGGATCTACTTAATATGGATTCTTAATCCATATTAATAGTACTGGCATAAAATATAGGATAGTGTAAGAAGTAAAAACAATGTGTTCATTTTAATGTATTTCTTCCAATGTGCTATTTAGTTAGATACAAACATGTCAATAACAGTCTTGTTTTGAGAGAATTGGAGGCTATCTAATGAGCCATAATTACTTTTTACTATTTTCCCTTTTTACATTTGCAAATTTACAGATGAAGGAAATGCTGTTTTTCCAAATCAAACTTTAATTAAAATATATTATAACGGAAATTACGCATTTCTGAACATACTGTATCTCTTTCTATATTCTATGAAATTCTTAAGAAATCCTTTCCAAAGATCAAATATTAAACAAGTATCCATAGAAGTTTCCTCGCCCTGTAAACTAGATAGATAAGGAATTGAAATTTATTGTTAAGAAAAAAAGCTTCATATTGACAACAATCTGGCATGCATTCATGGTTCCTGCAACTATGAGGTTACAAACAGATGGCAGATGCATTTTCTTACACAAGTGCCTAAATTAAACTCCAGAGTTAATAACAATATTAGTAAGTAGTAAGAGAGCTGCATTCATGTTCTACTTGATACCTATTCCCTGGTTTATGGCATGGCAACCTAATTCCAGTTCAACTCTTTAACTGTCAGAAGATTGACTGCTGGAACAAACCATTCCAGTCAAATCGTAGAAACTCCAAAGAAAAATAAAGACTTACCGTTCTCAGCTGTACAGTGTCAAGGGGTCATGGATAGCCACAGTGGCTGCAATTTTGGGTTGGATATTAAGTCTGATGAATGTAGTAAAGATATTATCTAATATACTTGACTGTGAAAAGTGTATGATGATTTAGAAATAAGCAACTGATCAGTAATATGCCATTCTTGCCGGTTAAGAAATTTAGAATATATTATTCATCGTTTAATAATGATTATTTTATGTCATAGATTTGTACTGTAAGTTAAAAAAACATCTCATCCTTCCAGGACTATTCTTTCTCATTCTTCTGAAAACACAGAAGAATGAAGTTAATAATTGAAGAATATAATTGAAGAATAAAGTTAGTAATGCAGAAATACTGAAATGTATGACTATGTATGTTACATGTGTGCATGTATACCTATATTTCTAATATTCTAGCTAGTAATCCTCTATATTCTCCTCTCTCTCTGTGTGCGTACACACACATAGTATATGGTATAATATCTAGTGATACCCAAGTGTTGTGGCCCAGCAGGAGCCATTGGAGCTGCAAACAGACTCCGACAGCGAGGGGCCTTATGAGTCGGCTCTGGA